GAGAGAGAGAGAGAGAGAGAGAGAGAGAGAGAGAAGGCGGGGGGGGGGGCAGGCTCCTGAGATTGCATTTGACTGTCGTTAATGACCGGACGCACCCCCTGGATCGAGAGAGAGGGAGGAAAGGGCCGCATAGCAAGAGAACGGGAAAGTGAGGGAGGAAGAGATGGCGAGACGGACAGGGCGAGAGAGGGGAGATTGGGGTGCATGAGAGGGCATTTTGACTGTCGTGAATGGGAAAGGGAGGAAGAGAGGGTGAGAGGGACAGGGCAGAGAAAGATCCCAGTGGGATAGTACCCTTCAGGCCATTATCTTCTCTTCACGGGGACACACACCAGAGTTAGATCCTAGTGGGATAGTACTCTTCGGGCCATTATCTTCTCTTCATAGGGGCCACACGGCAGAGAGAGATCCCAGTGGGATAGTACTCTTTTTGGGCCATTATCTTCTCTTCATGGGTCTCGCCCATTCTCCAGTCTTGCCCTAGAACGATTCTCAAAAGGGGAAAAAAAAATGATGACGTGATATTACTAATACATCCTTAGACCGCTGCTTTATCATACACCTTTTTTTTTTTTTCTTCCTCCTTCTTTGTGTGCTGGTATGCTGTCGTCTCTTCACGTCTGGATCTCCTCCCCGATAACTCTATATTGCTATCATCTCTCTCTCCTTTTTTTTTTTGTACATTTCAATCTCCACATTCTACTGGTCGTGTTGTTGCTACATCGCTTGCGTCGCTCCTCTTTCATATTTTGCGCGTGCGTTGGTGTCGTCAACACTAAATGCTCATCAGCTCTGCGTCCGAATCAAATGCAGAGTTGATGATCGCATCTGAATGATTTTAATCGAGTCACGTCGTTCGTCTAGAATGACCAGAGGAGGTTCGTTCTACCGTCGCTCATCCACTCTTACTACCGTGTTCACCCGAATAGAACGCACGCTGATTATAGATGTATTTGGTAATTACAGTACAGATGTATTTGGTCCCATTTATAGATGTATTTGGTCCCGATTATAGATGTATTTGGTCCCGATTATAGATGTATTTGGTAATTACGTATAGATGTATTTGGTCCCGATT